TGTCCTAAGCTCAGCTCCTCGCACTCTTCATCTGGAGTGCAATGGATCCTATGTCTTAGGCAACTTGTGACCCCTAGAAGGTCACTAGGTTCCACTTTGTAATCCAGGTGAATCTGCTGCTGAGTTTTGCAGCTCAACTTTGACAAAATGACGCGCGCCCGAAACTTTGTCAGGTTCCTTAGTTGGAATATCCAAAGCTCTGCGGCACACCGCATGAATATAAATCCAGACGCCGGTTTGCAGTCAGACTGTGGCTCATTATGAATAACCGCGCGCTGTGACAGACAGACAGACAGACAGACGGACACATACACGATAATATTTTCTTTGCATGACGAGCTCGATTTTCTTTTCATTCACATTTTCATTTCGTTTTCGTTTTGGTAATAGTGCCACTCGTTTACTTGACAATTTTCCTGTGAACTAGCTACAATTTTTCTTCGTCAGGCTGTGCTGCCAAAGGGCGGGCCAAGGGGACGAAGGCGGGCCAAGGATGCAGCAGCAGCCAGGACCTCTGCGAACTTGGCTCTGGCTGCGGCTGCCAACTAGCAGCGAGTGAAAAGATTCTGCCAGACACACAAACAACACACAGACAGGAACAACAAGGTACTTGCGGGGCAGGAACTTAAGCAGGAAACAGGAAAAGTAAGTTCCACCATTTTTGTGTGCTACGTGACGTCTTTCTCTCGAGACGTCACAAGATTTATTGTATGCAAGTTATGTGGCTGTATTGTTGCCACAACTGTACACTCAGTTTGCGTGTGTGTGTGTGTGTGCAAAAATATGCAAATCGGTTTTGCACTGCTGACGACTTCTTCACAGCAGCTGAAATGTGCTTAAAATTTGCAAAATTGTAGTTCATTTTTAGCTGCTGTCGATATTGTCGTATGCTCTAGCAAACGGGTCTTATGACTACAGCATTAAATATGTAACACATTGAAAAATGCATCAAAATAAAAGATAATTCATTTGAATGGGAAATGCATAATGCAATTCTGTTATAGAATTAGAAACTATCGAAATAAATCCTATAATCTTAATAATTCAGTCAGGATATTGGACTGGATCACAGGCTTATATATGTTAAGAATCGAATCTTGGAAAATTGTGTAATGTTGGCCAAATATATAGTAAATATATTTTGTTTCTGCATATATTCCAAATACATAAGGCCGTTGGATTTTCAGCTCTTTAGAAGATCGATTTAGTATATCATACATGAGTTCTTCCTTTAAGGCATTTCAGTGTAATTCAGCAGCCGCAAGTTTCTATATATTTTATATAAATAAAACTAAAAACTGAATCTGTTGAACCTTTTTTCAATTCATTTAATTATTATGTCAACAAGGGTATTTAATCGTTTCGGCATTATAAAAGGGTTTTTGATTTTCTTTTACTTTGCCGTCGCAGCTCGACAATTGTCCTGTGCACAGTTCTTGTTGTTGTATGTGTCTGTGTGTGTGTGTGTGTGTGTAAGGGATTACGTGGATTTGTTATTGCACTTTGCATATTTTCACCTGGCTACGTGTATTTGATTTGACTTTATCGCCCAGTGCACCCGTTAGCCAACCCTAGCCCATTTTCTCACCTGTGATCAATTTAAATGCACTTTTCACGACTTGACTTTAGCATTTTGCTTTTCTATTGCTCTTCACGCAATTTTGAGTGCCTTTTGCTTTTGTTTATGCTCGTGTCAGGTACATAAAAATGCCGTTTAAATGCAAACTCAAAAACAACCCAACGCGTTCGTCCTTTGCACTATATATTCTTAAGGACATTTACAGCGGCTGATCGATTGGGCGCACAGAAAGTATCGTGATATTTAACTGGATGTTAAATTATGATATATTTGTTAACAATTTATATACATTTTTTGAAATGGAAATAACATAAGCTAAATATTTGCAATATAATTTATTTAATATTTTTCAAGATAGACTTTTGTAAATATTTAAGAACAAGTTCTCAAATAATCTCAAAGTGCAATAGCGTATATTGCATTAACTTTACAAAGCAAAAAATGGTTTCAAGTTGATTTTAAATAAAAATAAAACTGAATCGGAGATTGTTTAAAAGCATCTTAACGTAATTCAGCTTCTGTATAAAATCTTCCCTTTTAGAGTATTTGAGCATTGGCTTGACAAAAACTCTATCATTGGTATTATTTTCAATTTTCTTTTGCCCTTTTACGTGGCACTGCAAGTGGCAGCTCTTTTGGCTAAAACCATTCAGGTAGCTGCCAGGATTTCTAAACATTTTACATCTCGGCCTTAAAAAAATAAGCCTTTCTGTTTGCGAACCGCTTGATAGAAAATTAAAAAGGTTGCGCTATAAAAAATTAAAATTAATTTCGTGACGCTTGACCAGAACGGGGCAAAAAAAAAAAAATTACACGCGAAAGCAAAAGGTAACGACTGCTAGATGCTCTGTTCGCAGTTTTAAGCGGTAGAATGATTCTTATTAGGCAGAAAAAGGCTGGTTTGGGAAAATTTCAGACAGATTTTCTAAAGTCTATAGTTATCTGTCTATATTCATTATATATCATCATGGAAAAGTTTCATAAGACAAAATAATCGGTAGTCTCGATACTCTCGATACAAAAGTATCCAAAATGTGTATTGAATATACCCCTTTTCTCTTAAAAACAGAGCATAGAAAACAAACGTTTGCGCGACTGAAAATCAATTGGATCACAGTTTGGAGCAGAGTAAAAGGCAGCCAAAGGCGTGCTTTAAGCCCGAGCATGATATGCTGTCATTTTATGAGATTTGACGCGAGCTTTAAATACTTATTATAAATAATATTTTACTAGGCCGCAGGATTTTGCGGCGACAGAACTTTTGACCAAAACCCCGAACTTAAACAGACAAATTGCAAAAGTGGACGAGCAAAGTGCAGCGCCACAGCGCCAAAGCGCCAGCTGCCTGGCTGCAAACACATCCAAAAACCGCAGCAGCCACTTCCGCGAGTGCCTGCCACATGAGCCCAAGGGGGGTTGCCTCATTTGGTGGCCAACAAAAAAAAAGACACTGCAGCAAAAATGTTAAAAACAGGCGTTAAGCACACAACAAGCACATGTGTGTGTGTGTGTGTGTGTCAGGACAAGCGCCTAAATGCAGCTTAGCATTTTAAGCGCTTTCCAAATGCGCGCTGGGGGAATATTTTCGGCGGCTGGTTAAATTTTGTGGGGGTTGACGCCGTTGCCGGGCGTTTATTTTGGCTATGAAAACGTTTGCCACACGTTGCCCTGGATATACGCATGGGTAGCAGGGCACAGCACGGGGCAGGGTGTGGCAACTTGGGAGCTTGGCAAAGTTAATGTAACGCTAGTGTTAATTTTGCTGCCAAACTGCAGGCAGGCGACAGGTTCATTTTCATTTTCAGTTTTCGCTTTTATTTATTTAGTTGTTGCCGCCTCTTTTGGTTGCCACATTTTGTTGCCTGCTTTGTGGCCGAGATAACGGATCGCCTCCGGCTAAACTGAATGCTCTAATGAACTATAAAGAGAACGTTCGAAGCAATCGACAGGGCGCGGCGTGAGAGAGACAGATAAACAACTATTTAAATGGGAGACCCAACTAAAGTGGGGAGCATGACAGGATACTGATTCGTATATGCTGAGATGGGAAAAACAATATATATATATATGTATTAAGCTCCAAGAGGGAATGTGGAAATAAAACTAAACTATTTAGAGAGAGAGCATGAAAGAAACCCCAAATATTCTGCGCTAAAACTAGCCGAGCTCATTAACAATTTTATGCCCTGAAACCATCGAAAATCGTTTAAAAGGCATCTCCAATCCCATAATATATACATATACTAGATCACATTAATAGCCGAGTCTATTTGTCTGACTGTCCGTCTCTTATATGTATTAAGGCATCGATCCGTGAATCTATTAGAGCTAAGGAATTGTAAACTTAATTCCGATAATCGATAACTTGCCCCGGTTTCAAGCAATTCGAGTTATGGGTAGCCTTTTCCGACTTCAGCTGTCTTACTCCCTTTGTGTGATTATATAGTACATGGCTATAAAAAATGTTGGAAGCAGTTGCTTGTAGATACCTACCCCCTGATTCGCAGAAGAATCAACTATTTTGTAGAGATGTTGCCTTGGAATTTGCCTTGGTATTAGGCAGTTAACTATGAATTTGAATGATCCGCTTGGCTAACAGGGCAGCTACAAGTCGGGAGTACTCTTACTTGCTTACTTGCCCCCGCCTACTTCCTTGTAGGAAGTATATCCTTCGGCTAAGACCACATTATGTCCGCCGAACTGCCAACATTTGTGTTCACAGCTGCCTCAATGATTGTGCCAATTAGACACAGCTCATCTAGCAAGGACTGGCTGCTGGGAAGATTGTTTCTTCATAAACCAGGTCAACTGAATAACTATCGTGTGAACAGATAGTCTTGTCTTTGAAATTATTGCTATCAGCATATCTGAAATGTGTCCAAAATTGAGCATATCAAATGCAGCTGGCATATGAAAAGTGCCCAGATAATTTAAGTGTGTGACAATGGTGCACTAAAAGGGCAAACATTTATATGCCATTTTGTAGAGAAAGTGCGCGCCACACTCGAACTGTTGACCCCCTGGGAAAAAGCAAAAGCAAAAGAAACTAGGGGAAAGAATATTAGAGCCCTGGCTTAGCTCTTCAGTCACAGTCAGAGCTTAGCATATTTCTTGTTGCATGCTGCTAAATTGTAAAATAAATCAAAATCAAAACCAACGACCCTCAAGCCAGCTGCCAAGCAAAGTGCCAATTGCATAGCCAGGCAATAGCAAATGGGGCAACTGGCAAGTGGAGGGCCACAAGAGCGGGGCAAGTGTTATTGATGTGCTTTTAATTGAGGTTTGTGTGTGTGTGGGTGTGAGTGTGTGCTGGCATCTCAGGCAACACATGTCCCGTTCGCATGTCTCGCATCTTGTCGCATGTCAAATCATTTAACTCATAACGGACATTTTATTAGGATTTGAGAAGGACAACACTTACCGGCATTCGTGCTATGTGCCAGGCAAATCAAAATGGCCAAATTGATGGACCAACAAAAAATGCCAGCGCGTCCTCCGGCTGCATAGTGTGTTCGTGCTCGTCGTCGTCGTCGTCCACGTCGTTGTTGATTATTTGTGCAATTTTTGCCAGGCATTTGCTGATTTGTTTCCATTTCGAGAACGTTATTGGAAATACCCAAATCCAGGCTGTGCCTCAGCCGCGTTGACGCCACACATACCTCTGTGGCCGTTGTGTGCATCTTGTTGCTGTAATTGCATACAAAAAAAAAGTGAGTCTTAAATATTTTTTTAAATTTAAATATTGCAGACCAGGCTCAACCGTTTGGCCCGAAGGAAGAGACTCGAGTGCCCGCTAGGCATAATTTTTCTGTAAGTGCAGCAAGTTTTTTGTCGTACTTTTCTGCAGCTTTCTTAATTTATGCAGTCAGCGCAAAAGTTTTAGCACTAAAACAAAAAACGTCAGCAAAAAGAATTCAACTTTGTTTAAGTGAGAAATGGAAAAGGGTCAACAGAAAACTGTTAATCGAAAATTGAGAGCGACTTTGAGAATTTATGATGAGAGAGCTCAACCCTTAAAAAAATAAGTTTTTCAATTAATTTATCATTTATGTGTTTGAATATGTAACAAAATCATTTTTAATAATTTATCTGCCTGTTAATTGCTTTTTTATTGCGTAGCTTTTTAGCAAAAACGCGATTTGATTATTTGCTTGCATTTATATTAATTGATTTTTAATTTTTTTCTTTCTACTTGATAATTAATAATTATTATTATTTACAAATGTTGAAAAATCAGACAATTTTTTATGCGTGTCCTGATACTCTCTCAGTTTGTGCTCTTCTACTTTTCAATGCAATTTTTGTATTAGGTTTTTTTTATTTTTTTTTTTTAAATTTTATTAAACAGCTACCAAAAACAATTTTGAAAAAAATGCATTTTAATTTCCTTTAATCAAAACAACAAATAAAATTTATAAGTTTTTTAGAATTTAATCGCAAGGCGTAAATTGAATAATAAATTATTTGTTGCCAAAAAATATGATATATACCCTTTGTTTGTCAGTTCTACAAATGGGGTATCATAAAAATATGGTCAAGACTTTGATTCGTGTTAAATAAAGAAAGAGAAAAATGCCGGGTTCGAACCTTCTTTTCACAATTATAACCAACATTTAAAATCATTGGTTCTGCTTAGAGGGTATCGTCTAGTCGAGCTGTATACTCCTATCTCAAAGCCAAAAAAAAAAACAAAAATCAAATAAAATTAGCAGACAAATTGACGAACAACTTTTGAGCAACAACTTGAAACACACAGAAAAAAATCAAATTAAAAGATGAAATCATATTGCCGCACGGAGGTACGCATAAACTTGGAATTGTAATTTGCTTGTCAGAAATGAATGGCACCTATTTCAATTCAGTTGCTTCTGTCCAGGGATTCCCCGAGTGCCACAAACGACAGTCGCTCGGCAAAAAGTTGACATTATTTAGATTAATGAACAGACAAACAATTTGTCTGGCGGCCTCGCGCAGCAGATTCACTTGTCAGAATGCGTTTTCAGTTTCGCTAAAAATTGTATATGAATGAATGCCTGACTGACAGACTGAATGAATGAGTGAATGAGTGTATGAATGAGTGTATGAATGAGTGTATGAATGTGTGCCATCAATTAGATGAGGCGAGAAGCATTTCATGTCATCGACGGCAGAACAATGCAAAAGTTGTACAATTTGAAACAAATTAAAGATTTTGGTTTAAGTAAGGATACTTAATACCCTTGTAGGATATTTAATACCCTTGAAGACATTTTCACTTATGCGACAAATATGTCTTGGAAAACAAATATTTATATATTGCTAAGCAGGCTGAGTTTGATGAAAATATATTGGACATCCAAATATTCTGACAAACAAGAACCTGACAAAATTATAATACCCTCTAGAAGGGTTCAACAATAACAAGACAACGCCTTATGGCTTATGCTTAAATTAAATTATAAAATTATGAATTAAATAAATAGAACTAAATATTAAAAACAAATTGAAATTATCGAAAAAGTGTTTGGGAATCTTCTTTACTTTCGATAATTAAAAGCAAACAAGATAATAAGTCACAGTCCTGACTAACCTGACTACTTACAACCGAAACTTGAACTAAATTAGTTAGACAACATAGATTAGATTTAAAACTAAATTGTTTAGTCAACATAGATTAGATTTACAGGCCGCAGCTTAAGACAGAGACTTGGTTTGTGGCTTGAATTAAACCCTCGACAGTTTATTTGAATTATTATTAAATCAAAATATACCCTGCAAATTTTGAGATTTACATCAGAAAATTTGGATCAACGATCAATTGCCGGCTTGCCCGAAAATCGATAAATATCGATTTTAACTCCTTATTATTGCAATCATAATATTATAGAAACTTATAGAAGCTTGTTGTGTAAGACTGCAAATATCTTTTAAATAAAATAAAATATAATAAAATTAATATTATAATAATTTAAATAAAGCATTTCCATTTTCCAGAGTATGTCATGAGAAACGAAGTCTCCGAGACAAAACCCGTACGAAAATTAGTGTAATGTTATAAATTTTATGTGTAAGAATACATTTGCTTTTAAATTTTGGTAAAAAGGAAAAAAAAAAAACAACTGACACATAAACTAGGAAAACTAGATTAAAAAAGAGAAAAAAATTTTCAAGAGTGTATTAGAATAATTTGTTTGGGAGCAGTTGACCCTTGCTTTTATGATCGTACAGATATTCGAATTAGTTTATAGAATTTCTCATTGTGCCGGCGGTACACATTTCGACAACAACTCGACGAGAGCTCAAAATTCATACAAAAACCTATTTTTTCCCTAAAACTGTATTCTTAAAACAAAAGCTATTTAAAAACAAAAAAAAAACAACAAAAAAAATGCCAAGACCAACAGGTAAATGAAGTTGAAAAATAAGTCTTAAATGCGAGTTAAAAATTTGTTTGACTAGGACCTGGACCGGCTGCCTACACCTTGCCAAGCACATTTGGCTATGAGAAATGCGACGCACGCATGCGCCGTGGTCCACAGTATTCGTTTGGACGGAAACCTTCGATGCCGGCCTTCAAGAAATCTGGTCCTGGACCCGCTGAATACCAAATCGGGCAGATAACGCGATACGGCAACGCCAAGGGACTCGAGTTCTCCATGCTGCCACGGGGACAGCTAAACAAACCCAATTCGGTGCGCTACGAGTGATACGGCGGCATGGAGTAACCGTTCCCGGGAATTAAATGGGTCACGTAACGAGTCGGAATGTGCTAAGATTAGATTAGTTGTGATCATTCGTGCATTTAGTGTAATAGTTACAGTCTATATCTATATATATATATGGGGCCAGAACTGGTGCTAATACCATTCTGGTGCAAATAAAATCATGATATACAAGAAAATATCCACTGTCAACTATTGTCGGCGGGACGGCAGGGGCAGTTCTGATCATTGTAGTGCCACTTGGCAAATTTAAGAGTTTAAAGTGCACTCGAGCTGTTTGGCTTTGTGTCTGCTGGGCCACAATGAAGCCGTCCGTGGCATTAAGTTGGCAAGCTCTTAAGTAACTTTGGCTCCGACTTGACTGACTGATCTGTGCGGAGAGTCAACGTTTGCTGGGTTCTAAGCAAAAGCCTGTTATTTTCTGGCTTCTTGTAATAATCACACAGTAAACAGGCAGCCGGCAGCAGAGGGAACTGAGGGGGAGGCAGCTGCCTTTGGTCGTGAGAACGCAGCTGAAAGCAAAGAAAGGGCCACAGCTAACTGCCTCTTGGCTCACATTGTTGCCGCTGGCCGCAAGTTGTAATTGCAACGTCAACGTAAATGCATAGCACGAGAGCAGCGCAGGAATTTCACGGATGTGCGATGTGCGATGCGTGCATTTTGCAGATGGCCTCCTTGGACACATGGACACTTGGACACTCTTAGTTTTGGATTGGGTTTGAAAACTAGAGGCGCGACCGGGGCGCTGTGCAAAAACAGACTGAAAAGTGACCACTGCCCAGTGCTGGACATCACGTACGCATTGCACACATACACAAACACACTCAAACACATGCACAAACACATGCACGAGCACGCGCACGCAGACAAGCACACTTGGACACACTTAGAGAAAATATTATTATGTATTATATTTGATTATTTAGAAAAGTTTTTTATATTATCATTATCTTAATGGTTAATTATTATTATCATTATCATTATTATGACTATAAATAAGCATTTATTATTTTTTGCATTTAAATATTTTTCTACAGACTCAACTTAGACCTCATATGAATGATGAAGTTCTCTTAATCCTATCATCCTCCTATCACAACCTCTTGTAAGGTAACAAAAATATGCAATTTATTGTAAATATACATTATTTTGCATCGTACATTATATCTAACTATTCCCATAATCTTTCGCTTGATAAAATTCATAAGGCGCAAGATAAAGATCTGTATTCAATTACCTAAAAAAAGTTATCTAAATACATCTAAGTATTTAAATTAATTATTTACTTTAATTATTTTTATTTTATTATTATTAATTATTTTTATTTTTTTATTTTCGACTTTAAAGTCTTTTTAATACCAATGAAATAATATATTTGCTCGAAATTTAAATTGACTCTAAAATGTTCGCGATAAAATGAGCTTAATGCAAGCATGAATATTACATTATTTTTGTCTCAGTGCACGCATTTGATTGCATTTTCGCTGGACTTGGCTGGCAGCGTCTTGCTCTTGCTCTTGGTCTGCCTCTGCCTCTGCCTCTGCCTCTGCCTCGCTGCCTTCTGCCTCGCTGCCTTCTGCCTGGCTGCAGGGGCCGGAAAGGCGAGGCCAGCAGAACCTGAAGATTTATCTGAGCGCGTTTATTTTAATGTTACGTTCTGGCATCTTTTGCCTTGGCCTCTTCTCTTTGAGTTTTTGGTTGGCTTAAGCAGCCGCTTTCAATGCATTCAATGCCCACTGTCTTTGTCTTTATGGACGCTGCTGCTGCTGCTGCTGCTGCTGCTGCGGCTGCGGCAACATCATCATCATCCTGGACGCTGTGGCATGCTTTGGTGCGTGGTACGTTGACCGCTTGGAATGTTGATTCATCTGCTGCTGGCAGCAACTTCTTTTATGACTCCACTTGCTCTTTATGTCAATCAGCAGCTGTAGAAGACGCAGCAGCAGCAGCAGCAGCAGCAGAAATGTTGCTCATCGTTTATGGGCCATCATCACAGGAGCAATTCTTGGACAGGCTCTGGCTGGGGCAGCTCAGCACAGCACTGCGGCTGCAGCCGCATTTGGATGCGCTTGTTACTATTTTTAGTGCATATCGCTTTCCTATTCTATTCTTAACTTGTTAGATGCGCAATTTGCAGGCCCTTACGCCATAATGGGGCAAATTATCTTTAAGTGCTGCTGTTGCCCTTCTCTAGAGTTGACTTGGCATTTATAATGCGTTCTTCGTTATTTTTAGCACGATCTTGCAGCCAGACTTGGCATTACATGATCTTTTTTTAAGCTTGATTATATGTTTAGATGGCTGCCAGGCGCAGCATTTAATTGTAAATGGGCATAGTTAACTGGCATAGAATTTAATTGCATATTTAAATAGCCCGACCAAAGCCAACATTCGGCTAACTAGCTAACTAGCTAACTAACTAGTCCTACACGGCCCAACCACCCGCTGCGTATACTTAATATGCGGCACACATCAACTTCATTAAATGGACTTTGGCCCATCAATGAAACAGCCTCAGATATTATTTATGTTTGTTGCCGGTTAATTTGACAGCCGCTGGCAATTGATTTGCCCCCGCCAACGAAACGAAAGGGTCATTACGGCGATTACCGAAGTCGGACGAAAGACAAAGACACGCCATGCTGTTAACCTCACACGTAATTAATTTTTTGATTTGTTTTTCCTATTCAATTTAATTGTGAGAAGCAGCTGCTTTATTTGCTATTGATAGACTGTGACACTTGCCGCTGTCATGTTAATCGAATTCCTTAGCGTTAGCCTCCCCTTGGCGCGGACCCAGCGCCTGACCCTCACGTGGCACGTGACTCGCCTGGCTGATTGCCCCAATACGACGCACATCTTTTCGACACTCGCCAAAATTTCGCTTAGACTCAAACTCAAAAATGATACAAAAACTAAGCGCAATTGTTATTTAAGAGTACAATTATTTGTTAGGCCATACCCAACGTTTTTTTTTCAAATGACCCAATTGTTTTATTTTATTTTTATTAAAAGTTTTTTATGTGCCTCGCCTGGCTTGGCTAGATGAAAATATTGTAAAATTACGCTAAGCGAACAAATCTCATTTAAGCTGCCGTCCAACATTCACCTTAAGTTTAAGCGCCATAAACATGCAAGAAAACTCTCAGGTCTCAGCTTAAAGACCAAATTTAACGTATGTCCGCAACCAACCCAAAAATAATTTCATCTTCCTGCTGCTGCTGCTCAAAGAAAAAGTAGAGCAATGCCCGAAAAAAAAAACCCGTCACGTATACGACAACAACAACAACAACAACAACTGTAATAAAAGTGCATTCACATTTTGAAAGTAAAGCGAGCGAACTTTTAATGTTTTGTCAATGATGGGTCTTTGGTAAATGGAGTCCAAGCAGCGCCGTCCTTAAAGATACATTTGTATCTGTGCGTTACACTGGGTATCTTTAAGCTGTGCGCCGTATCTGTGTATCTGTGGCATGCTAAGCTCAATATTTATGTGCTACGCATTGCTTCAGACTTCAGACGTGCTGGCAACAGAATTTTCACGCCACTCAATTACTACATTATGCGTTTTTTGGGAGGTCTCCGATCTGATCACCTATCCCCGCACCTGTTCCGCATCTGTTTCGCACCTGGCCTGCGGCTGCGTTGCGGTTGCCCCTGCTGTCGACTCTCGACTCTCGGCTGTCGTCTGTCATCAGGTGAAAGGCAAATAAAATGTCAATTTGTATTGCCAGTTGTGTCCCTTTTTTGTGTTGTGCCCTGTTTGGATACCTTATTATTCATACGCATATTACACATTCAGATTTAATACAGCCTTAGCCCCATCCCCACCTCACCATCCCTGACAGAAGTCGTCCTTTTTGTGTCAATAATCATTTACATGTTTATCTAATTTGTGGGGATTTAGCGGCCCGAAATTCCTACAGCTTAAAGAAAGTTAAAGTTGTGGCGAACACTGCAAGATACAGAATTATATTGCCGACAAGTACGTATGTGTGCGACACAGATACACACACACACACACACACACCCAGACACGCGGCTGGCAGCCAAGGCGAGCTCATAAAATGATATGAATTTCGCTCGCAGAAACGAGTTGATGACCAAGCCACAAAAATTTCAGTAAAGTTGTAAATCGAACACCAAACAAAGCCATCAAAAATACAAAAATATAAAATAAAATTCCCAAAACGCGACCAATGCCAATCGGGCAACATTGTTGTTGTTGTTGTTGTTGTTGCCGCTGTCATTGCAATGTTATAGCCACAATTGTTGTTATTTCCGCATGCAAAAATTTCATTTTGCTGCCCAGCGACAAAGGCGACAAACCAAATTTCCCACACAAATGCACATAAAGGGTGTTCCTCAAATTATTCGCTCTATGCGTACAATTTTGATGCTGCCAACAGCTGCTTCACGCATGTCCAAATATGCAGTAGAACATTTACATTTACATATATTCTAATAATTAAATTCTGAAATTGTTAAGAATACATAAAAGCTAGTATACATATTGCTGGTATATTTTGCTGGGAGGAAGTTCTAATGTCCTTTATGTATTTATCAAAAGTGTAGGCTAATTTTAATGGAGAATTAATTGTTTCACATGTTTGTGAATATTTAGAAAATATTTCTGCATGAACATAATAAAGCTTATTAATTTAACAACATTCTCCAAAAATCATTTAAATAGCATCTACAATAGCTTTTTGATATGCAGAAAGAAAGAAACCCAAGTTCTATTCTTGACAGCAAAATTTAAGGCAAATTCTTTGTCATTTCCTACTAAAAAATTAATTTAAATATATTTTAAGATATATATATTGTTATCAGCAGGCTTAAGGTCCAGCGGTTGAGTTCACAAAATCAAAAATGTTAAAGAGACAACAATTTTGTTTTTATATATATTTCATCTCCGATATATATTTCTGTTCAATTATCTCTTTGCTCTTTGACGTGGAGATTGAAATAAAAGTAATATAATCAATAATATTATTTAATAAAATAAATTGTCTAGACAATAAGTTGTCTAAGAATCTGGTTTTGGTATGGGTCAAAAGCTATATAAGCCAAACCTATTTCTAAGTCAGGTTAATATATATTCTATTGATAAATGCTAGACTTATTCCACAGTAAGCTTTACAATATAGCTTTAGCTGTATTTTCCAAATAAA